AAACTACGGCTCGAAAGTTTTGATAAACATTGTCATTCGAGAAATTATCAGGCAAATGCTGTTTTAACAATCGCCGAATATTTCCGGCAAAGTAATATCACTCGTGGTATTACATATGATAATTCAATTTTATTCATGAAGAGTGATATTTCCCTATATTCTATTAAACGATTTGAGAAAATAGTGGAACAAAAACTTTTGTACCAGCAATTTTATGTTTTTTTCAAAACTCCATCAGTAGAACTCATAGAGGGTAAAATACATTCATTATAAAATCAACAGAACAACGAGCAATTACTGTTTGTTAATTGCGGCATAAACATTTTCATTCGATGCAATGTTTGTTTCGGCTTCTTTCTATCTGTGTAACCTTTATCTGTGTAACCTTTATATAGGATATTATTTCATTGGGATTGAAAGTAGCATTTTGTTTCGGCGAATTTTGTTAATTAAATACCGAGTCAAATACGGTATTAGACACATCAATGGAGGATGGAAAAATGAAACCACCTATCTAAGTGGCATCTATGTATACAATTTATCGTAGATATATTTAAAACTTTTTATAACAAATGGTTCCTAATCCTGGAGAGTCACAAATACGAAATGAAGATAGTAATCATTAACGACAGGTTGTTTCATACATTGTTGACAGAGAAAAAAATATGATGACAGACAAAAATAAATTGGAATGAGGAAGGAAAACGCTTCTAAAATAGCCACTCTGACTGTTGAATTGGGCCTTACGAAACGATTAAAAATGTATTTTAAGTGTGACAAACTATTTGAAATATCATGTTAAACACTAATGGGACGAAATTATGATCTGCTGTGGTGTGATGTGTGATGACGGTTTTACTCGGAGGATGTTGAAATTCGGTATATAAAATTTGAAAACATACGAACACGTTTACTTTAACGTTTTGTATGACATAAATGATTACCATGCACCTTATCGATTTTTGTCGATTCATTGAAGGATTTACTTCATCACCCTATCATCTCTTCTTATTAATAAGTTCTCCTTCATTAACTAGTTATGAAACTGGATAGTTTTTATCTCTACAGAAAATTATCGTTACACGAACTTGACACAACTTTAGCGCAATTCCATCAAAGCCTATTAAGAAGTTGCCTTGTGTTGTTTTAATTATAATCTTTTTTTTTATTTCTCTCAAGATCTCTGCAAGGAATTTGCATTTATATAACGAAATTGGAAAAAATACGAAAATATGGAGGTGAAAATAACGATCCTTGCGATAAGTTTGTTGTTCACACTGAATCCTGTCTGCATAAATATCAGTGTCTAAGGAAGTGTGAAACCTATTCTGGAAAACTGTGGGAGGGATAAAATATGAATTTAATTACTGATTCCTAATCTCCTAGGTACCTAATAATAAAACAAAAATATCTGCATATATGATTGCACACCGTGATGTGGCAGGAGCAAAATGTGTCGCAAAAACTGCCTATTTACATTAATAATAACTGATTCATGTTCGATGGTTTGCATTCCATTGCCCACACAAGCGATTATATGGAGAGACGCTTTCGAAAAACACGTGTATCTTATCTTACTCAATAATGATTGATTAGATGAATCGACAATGAGAAATTATGCATCAGGATGAAGGCCCTTCGGTAAAAAATTATTCTGTATTGAATCTGCAGTTGCATATAGATTGGGAATTAGGCTGGACTTTATCTGGACTGTTCAAAAATATGCAGAATTGTGATTACGAGTATCACCATCAGTACTTGTACTTAGAGCATTTACAGGAGCAGATTCATTTGGATAAACCGAGGGATAAACTCACAAAAATTAATATGGCGGCAATATACTGAGTTAACAAGTTTCAATGACTAATACTTCAGAAATCGATAGAACTTGATGAAATACACTAATCCCTTTTTATGAACTCATGCTTTAAAACCGAGTTTCAAACGATTCGTTATTGAGATATTGGAGGTTGAATTAGTGTACATATTTTGAACAGGAATCTCAAATATTTCAATAATGGTCATATATTTATCTCTGAGATGTAGGTACACTAAGGTGATCATTATGCATTGAATGCAAGTAATATGTATCATAATTGGCATGCAGTGATGGTGGTACATTTTCTGGATACTGTCAATGGAAATAATCAATGAAACTTTTTTCAGTACGCGACTGACCTAATTCTGATGCATTTCTTAATCATCTCATTAATTCTTCAACTCTTGACCAAATTGAGTACTTTTGAAAATTGGTTTCGTCTGCAAGCAAAAAACAAGCTAAGAACCTGAAATAAACATTTCAAATTGCATTAAAGTGATTTTTTTGGGGATTTCATCAAATATCTTGCAAACCAAATTATCGAAAATAATCACGGGGGCCAAAATTCATCAGGTATTGAATGGTTGAACCGACAAGTGTATCAGAGCAAAAACTATCAACAATATTGAAATATTCAATATTCTGGCCGAAAAAATGTCAACTCAATCTCAGTTCAAATTGCACCCATTTGTATTTACTGATGAACTTGAATAATATCACCTCATTCGAAAATGGGGATTCCGACTTTCAGTCAGTATATTCAGTGATGAACGAAATGGATTCATAAAGATTCTATGGATAAAAGAACAGAATTGAATAAAATTGAAGAAGAGAAGATTATCTATCTGACGATGAAATTATCCTTGGAATTTTGTTTAGAATATTAAGCCCGATCAGATTCCATGAGACCGACAAGAAATCTGGATTATATTATCCAATGAATTCCCATCTATACAACGAACTTTCATTTTTCCAAAAAAGTATGAGATTAAATAAATATTTTAACAGTTTGATATAAACACAAGGACCTTTTATTTGAGCGAAACCCGAGGCAAAACCAAAGTCGGAGATCACTTCTCATTTTTCCAATTCCACCGAAAATCACATTCCCAACGATTAAATAGTTCACTTCGTTTTTCTTTCTACTTGCCAATTGGAAATAAATGATTACCTTTATATTCTTAAGAGTAGCATGAAGCATACGTTCGAGGTTGAGTGGAAGAGCAATTTCCATGGTGATTCGTCACTATTGAAATTGAACTCCGCCATTAATTTTCTTCCAAAGATACATACCTATGTTATATATTCCATTTTTATTTGAACGTGAAATGGGAGGAAATAATGAAGACAATATTATTATTATTTTTATATACGTACATTCAGAACGATAGAGGAGACTTACATTCTGTGTAAAAGACGAATTTAATTCAATATTTTTCCTTCAGTAGGAAATCAAATCAATATCAGAGCGACACGAAATTTCGCGACCTATTCAAAATTCTTTGTAGTTATTCAGTTGTATCGAAAGAATTTTTGGAAAAAAGTGTTTCTACGGTATCTAGAGATACAGAAAAATTGGAAGTACTTTTCGATTCAACGTGGTGATATTGATTTCTCTAGGCGACGTTTCGTATTCGTAGAACCATGATCAATTTGTTTTAAATCGGTCCTGATTAGGTGTTCACTGATCCTGGTAGTTTTTCTTCTTCTGAATTTGACTATGTATTACTCAAAATTGTTTGAATGTGTTTCGACCTAGTTTTAGCCAACATCAATGATTTTTCAAAATTCCGAAGAGGAAAATAGCATCAGATCCACTCATTTCTGATCATTACTCAGTGTCGAAAATTGATGGAGTAGTTATTCAATACTGAAAAGTGAAAATATATATATTCCATGAACTATGCAATGCATGGCAGCGATTCAAATTGTATCATGTTAATGGTTTCTCACCCTAATTTCTTTGATTACTAAACTTATTCTTCAGTCCTTTGGCCGGCGCGATCACCTGATTGGACACCACTGGAGTTTTTTTCTTCGGGGATACGTTAAGAACTTTGTTCTCGCGAACGATTTTGATATCCAAGGAGAACTAGAAGGGACAGTTTTATCGAAGCATTCAATATTATTACCCTGGAAATGCATAGAAATTTCTAGAAGCAACTGTAAGAAAGAAGAGGATATCTTCGTTTAGAAAATGATGGTTATAATTTTGAATATTCGTTAAGAATGTAATTTTTTACAAATATGTTCTGTTCGTGTTGCCAAATTTTAGTTATCAAGATAATTCGTGTTAGAATCCATCAACATGAAACAATTTGCTTTGAATAATTTAGTATTTTTTTTTAGTTTTCGATATTGAATAACTACATCAATGTTTGACATCGAATGATTAGAAATAAGTGGAACTGGTGGTATTTCCTTTTTGGAATTTCTAAAAAAATATGATGATGGTTAAAACTAGGTCGAAACAGTTGATTTCATAATAACAAAAAATTTGAGAATCTATAAACACATAATTAGTACCGAAATTGAAAAAAATGATAGTTCCACGAATACGAATAGTCGCGTAGAGAAATCAATATATAACCACGTCAAATTTTATCAAAAGTTGCTATGGAAAAGTATTTTCAGATTTTCTGTATCTCTAATGATAACGTAGAAAACAAGAAAATGGATTTTCCAAAAATTCACATTTTTCGACATAACTAAAAACAATTTGGAATTTTTTTGAAGGCCTCTGAATGAGCAACTTTTTCTCATTTAACCGATGCTGTGCAACCTCATCTTGGTCACACTGTATATACTGAAATTCTTCGAGGAAATTCTTCGAGTGGGGTTTTCTCTCATCTCATCTTAATTGGTGAATATACGAAAGGGTTGTATTGATTATGCTCAAAGATTTTTATAGGTGTGTGAGCCTTTCAATTGGCTGAGGATTATCTCTATGTAATATTTCAACGTACACCCCACTCTGTATACAAATTATAATAGTAGGCATCTTAAAATCCAGTTGCTGCAGAATACTGTATCAGCAGACTATTTAAAATTGTAATTTCTTACTCTATCTGATGAAATTCCAACGCGTGTTTAGTATCTTATTGTTATAGTATCCGACTTCTCCGACTATCCCCTGTAACTCGCAGTTCCCTTTCCGTTTTCCTGTTGAATTATAGCAAGATCATTTCCTACCTTTTGTGGCAGCGCTGACCCTGTCCAGATTATTGAGTGTAACAGGAACAGGAGAAATGGTTAGGGCTACATCAACATCCAGACTCCTCAGGGGCTTTCTCCCTATAAATATAGCCGTATACTTCACCCTCACAGGTTGCCTACACTTGACCCCCTCACCATCGTTCAGAGCTTTGGAAATCCGCACTTCCCTGTTTTTCGGCAATCCCAAAGAGTTTTTGAAATACCGGCGCACTATCACACTGAACTGTACTGTGTTGTTATTTATGACTAGCACGTCACTGGTGACTTTTCCGGTGAAAACTACGTGAGCGTCCCCGATTTTCTCCGCGAAAAGCTCGTTGTTTTTGATGACGAGCTCGTCATATTTGCATCTGGGTAGGTACCCGCGATTGAACGATACTTGCCTGCGTGATACCGAATTTTTGGCGAAGGCAATCGACAGACTCGCTATCAGGACCAATAGGGAAAAAATCTTGGACATGTTATTGAGCATGTAGATTCAGAGACACCGTGGGATAGTGTGAAGAAACTTACGCGTGCAAGGCTGCGGCATGACTGTCGTATCTAGCGTACTATACGGCAAGGTACCGTCCTCCAAGGATAGGTTAGTACCTCTTTGGATTTCTATCAGATCGGCTGCTGATTGGTCATTTGGACCACATCCCACGCAACGAAATTATAAACATTAATTATTGAAGGTGGATGTTTACGCGGTGTGTCGAAGAATAAATTCGATTTTGGTACCTACTCGGTAGATTTCAGATAGACGGTTGAGGTATGGTGGAGCGATTTCGGCTACCTACACAGGGGGTCGAGCGATTGCTGATATTGCTGATTACACAACAAAAACTCATGTGCTATCGAATTCTTTGTGGCCGATTCTTCGTTCTATAATTGTATTGATTCCAAGTAAAATAATCATGAAAATTGATTTGATTTCATAGGAAATCTAAGTCCTGGAAATCTCAAAAATCGTGTGTGAATTCCAAAACTTCCAGAAAATGAAATTTTTTTCAACAATTTGAATCACATTACATATTTAATGTCGACGAAATACGTATTCAACTTTTTAAGAAAAAAAGAAAGAAGCAGATAAAATGTTTGACAAACTGATAATATTTCGAAATAGTATACCAGGTGTCCCAACTCTATTCATATCTGCATTTCTTGGTAAACGGGTGATACTTATCAATGTACTGAAAAAAACTGGCTTAAAGAAAAAAGTGTGGCATACAAAAATTACTCATTAAAACTACTCCTCGATAAACCACCCCTTCGCACATATACCACAATTTTTTTTAAATTACACCCCCAAATTATTATGTCATGTTTGAGTAGCTTATTAGCTTCAATGAACTCAATATAAACACCTGGAAGGTGCGTCGCCCAGAATGTGCACCTTCATTTTTCCCTTTCTGGAGAATAAGTTGAAGCTCTAAAGGCAAATATCATGATGTATTGAAAAGGAATATTCTCAGATGAATTATGAACATACAAAAATGAATATATATTAATAAATAATATTATATTATATATATACATTGAGAATTCGCATTCTCTATGTGATGAGATTATATATCAACACTTTTTCAGTTTGTTCAATGTATTGCTTTATATAAATATATATCCATTTTTGTATGTTCATAATTTATCTGAGAATATTCCTCTTCAACACTTTCATACCCAATCAGGGGGTTCAAACTTGAATGGAAACTTGTGATTTTTATAGACCTCTAATCGCAGATTCGTGATAGAGTCTCAATTCAGAATTTCTTTCCACGCCCTGTATGATGAATGTCAATTTATCATACACTCAAAAGCATTATGATGTAGCTCTTGATTTTAAAAATTTTAACTTGTAGTTTTTCCTTCAAAATGTTTTTTTTAGTACCTCATCAAGATTGTCATTCTCCTTTTTACTTTTTGTATCAGTGTTTTCACTTCTCTTTGCAATAGAATATAGGCCTTCTCGAATGCAACAGTTTGTGGGTTTCATTATCAATGAACTTTGAAACTTACATGGGAGTTGGAAGTTGTAAGCGAATCAATGTCGATATGAATAACATTGTCTTTTGAATCCAAGCTATGAACATCCACAGACACATCCTGAAAATAAATTACTATAGTTTTTCTAAGAATCTGAACAATTTTCAACTTACCCATGGAGGTCAATTTCTGTTTGTCTTGCCTGTTTTGCATCGAAAGGCAACACAATATGAATAAGCATTGTTTATTAATTCGAAATCACAAATATTCTCAACAAACAATGAAGTTCTGTCTTCACTTTTTTGCCTGTCTAGATGAAAAAAAAAGATCTCCAGTACTCCAATTATTGGATAAAAGAAAATTTATACACCAATCCGCCATTAAACAACACGAGTGTGAAAGAGACAGGTTACCGTAACACAAGCTAGCTTCGTTGCAGCTGCCCTGTTTTATTCGAGAAACCGGCCTACTCCCTTCCAGGTGTGTTTATATTGAGTTCATTGATTAGCTTACGAACACAATGATGTATTACATTTTGTCCACCATTACCAAAAATCTGAGGACGAAATCAGACGACTGATGTACTAGACATCTGAATAACCACTTTGGGGAAAACTGGATTGGAAATTTTGGCACTATACGATGACCAGCACAATCCCCTGATTCATCCCTCTCAGATTATTTTCAGTGGGATCATTCAAAACAAAAAGTGTAGGCCCTGTTGTACGAAGCAATATTGCTGAGCCATACATACCACAAAATGAGAGGATGTGATATGAAAAAAAAAATGAGAGGTGTATGCAAAGGAGTGGTTTATCGAGGGATTGTTTCGATAACTAATTTCACATCAGTCGTCTGATTCTGTGCCTTTACATTCCTAATATGATATGAAGACCACAAAGGAAAAACGCTGAAAGTCTGGAGGTAAAATGAGATAATAGTACCAAAAAAATTATAGTAAATCGTAGAATCGAATACCATGGGCTGCTTGACAATATCACTGATAGTCTTAAAGTATATATAATTCGGTGAAATTCGGAAAAAACAATCGAAAGGCGTAATTCTTATAGTATGATAGAATATATAGTTGAAGTTCAAATTCATCTTACCTCATTCCACTATAGGTCGGTGAACCAAACATCCTGTATATCATTCGGTGTACAATCTGGGATATTCAGAAATTCAATTTTATCTTGAGCATTTGTTTCACAGGACGTTATATGACCACCCAAAATGAACCAAAGTGATAGTTAAAAGTTCAAATAAAGCGGAACTAACAATAATTCTGATTTGATAAGAGAGGATTTTCGAAAGAAAATAACTAACAATCATTTTTCCAGATTTTTTGGGATTTTCTCTCCTCGTCTCTATAAAAAAAATATGAATACTATCTACATACTATGCTACTATCAATATACGTTTAAATAAGACAAATCAGATGATTTGTCCCAAAATGTCACTGCGTTTAAAGAATTTTCCTATCAGAGAGCCTAAAAGAAAAATTCACTAGCTTGTCAGTGACAATTAGTATTGAAGAAGGTTCCGGGAACGAATCTGCTCCCGTTCTCAACAACTGAAAAGTGTCAGGACAAATGAGAATTTGCCATACTAAAAATCCATTTTTTATGTTGAAAACGGAAGCAGATTCGTTCCCGGAACGATAAGTAAAAAATTTGACATTTTTTCTACATACCTTTATTTCTCTTCTCCAAACCTTTTTCAATACAAATTGTCACTGACAAGCTAGTGAATTTTTCTTTTAGGTTCTCTGATAAAAAAATTCTTTAAACGCAGTGACATTTTGGGGCAAATCATCTGATTTGTCCTAACTACACGCATATTGAAATAGTATTTATATTTTTATTTCATAGAGACGAGTAGAGAAAATCCCAAACAAAATCTGGAAAAATGAATGTATACTAACCTACAGATAGTAAATAACTAACACTATTTTTCTTTCCAATCGGTTATAAACGTGACTGTAGAGGTTTGATGTATATAGTGACTCGAAATAAACCGCATTCAGATTACCTGAATTTAAAATCCTATTTTTCAGCATCAGCTTTGTACGAAACATAGATTCTAATCAAATCTCGTAAATACATTGTTTGATTATCTGTTTTCAGAGCAAATTCGATATCGAAGCTCATAAGGCCCTGTAGGTAACGTCTAACACAATGGCATGACGTGGCAACAATGGTGCAGCCATTGCGGAGATGAAAAGTAAATTGACAGGTGGTTACAAATTACATGTTCCCGTGTTTGACGAGGAATTAGTTATTCTGTTACACTGGTTACACGCATCTCGTTATCAGAAACCATATAGCGAGCGCTACAGCTACCGAACGCAGAACGTCAGTCTATCCGAGTTCAGAGTTCAAACTGTATTTGCATAATAAACCACCACTATAATATTATCTCAGTTTAATGGATTGCTCGGCTTGATTGATCAGAATGTCTTAATCTACGTTGTGAGATGTTGATTTGTATTTCAATACAATTTTCATTAGAAAATAAACAATGCATTTGAATAATTCGCTTCTGCAGCTTCAATTTTCTTCTAATTGACTCTCATCTCTTTGTTGGCTCTCATCTCTTTGTTGGCAAAGGCTGAAGATGAAATTATGTGAGTTCTAAACATGAGACCCCGAAGATTAGAAGTTGTTCTGGAGATAATAATTTTTTCTACAAGCGTGCGTGATTCATCCTATACCCGCACGCAATTTATTTTGGGAAGTGTCATTTTTCCGCATCAGTGCGGGAAAAACAAGGATATGATAATCGGGTCGATTCTGTTCGGATCTTGTTATAAAATTGCTAAGATAATAATATAGTTATGATCCTAACATATAACAATATTGCTATGAAGTTCTGTATTCTGTTTGCAGAGTAACTGCAAGACTGGTTATAAGTTCAAGTGATAGCAATATTGTTGAAAAATTGAGAATTTTTGAGCTGACAACACTGTTTTCAACTCATTGTTTAAGTGTTAGGTATCGAGTTTGCTATTATTTCATGAAGAAGAAGAGTTCATGATTATCTAACCTCTCAAATTAGTCAGTCCTGCACTGACATTTTACAAAATTATATTGTTCAAATCGAAAGATTTTGTATTTGCTGAATCTGGTCGTCGTTGTGCGACTGGTGCAAGTCATCAATCATGTCCCCAAAATGATAAAGCCAGATGAAAATAATCGTGATTTTTTTCAATATTCTAACAAAATAGCTTGAAATGGTTTTTCTGGTTCTTAATATGCCGAAATTGTAGTCTCATATTTCCTCTACAAATTGGAACTTCAAGAAAAGGTTTTCAAGTAGTTGGTCACAGTAGTGAACCTATCCTATTTGTTTGTAATCACCATTCTAAGTTTTTCAATAAGTCTTCTACGAATTGAAACTTAGAGGAAAGGTTTTCGAGTAGTCAGTGACACAACTGAACTCTCATATGTTTTTAATCCACTATTTTCTGAATTTACATACAGTTGGAAGAATTTG